AATATCTGCCTATCCCAGATCCTTGGGAAAAATGCCAAATCCAATTTGAATCTCTGGCTGACTGTGCAATCCACTATAATAAATTATATTTATATGCTGCCAAACTCCCAGCAGCTCTGGGCAGCAGGAAAAGAAGCAAGTATAGAAAAGAGTTTCAAAATAATCCCATCTTGATTTTTCATGGTTTAAGAATTAACAGAGGGAAACTCTGGCATACTTTCAAAGTTCTGTTATTATACCCTACAACGGTAGAATTCAGTCCTTGTGGTATATGATTACTGACATGGCCTACCTCAGAGTGGTGAGATACAAGCAGCAGAAGATGCTTTCCTCTGTGCCTGTATTCATCTGCACAAAATGATGCATGTCAGTATTGCTATTCCACCTAATATGATGATAGTGGAATAAGTGTCAATTTTGCAGCTTTAGAAGACTGAGATCTTACCTGTATGGTGATTATGCCTATGTGTATTGCTGTCTGACATATAACTTCAAGAAGCAACTGATTCTTTCTATCTATAAGTTTGATAATGAGTAGGATAAGGGTAATGAAGCTGAAAATCAATCCAGAAAAAAATAAGCAAAGATACATTTGGTGAAATCTGGAATTAAAATTCAGCCTGTTCTGATGGGATATATTTTTTTTAAAAAAAAATATTTTTAATAAAATTGAAGATCCATATTCTGAAAATAAACATGACCTATACTGCCTTTGGTTTCCCAGATAGGAGTAGCAAGTAGTTGTAAGCATTATTACAACTCCTGTGCCATTCTTAAGGCAGTTGAATTTGGCAAGAGATACCCATACATTAATTACATTCCAGCTTGTCTACTGCAATGTGTTTTACTTGAGAATACCCTTGAGAAGTAGGCAGAAGCCTTAATTGGTGCTAAATGTCACTGCCAGGACTGGATAATAACATCAGTATATGATGCATATGTGAAAGTTTTGAACTAGTGATCAGTTGCAAATATATTTGTTGTTGCTGCTGCTGTTATCTTTGTTTTTAATGCCCTACTTGAGGCCTAAATGTATTGCTTTCAACATAAGCCAGTCCAGACATTAATGTCAACAAGAGAGGACTCTTGAACATGGTTTTGCCAAGTGTTCCCCTCCATGCACACACAAAATAAATTCTGGATCTGGGATTTGGAGGCAACAAAATCAAAATGGGATAAAAAAAAATAAAGCAATGATTTTTTGAAGAAGCCTGGGCAAATAACAGGATTATTTAAAAGGATTGTGTTAAAGGAAAAATGATTTAGAGCAAAAAGATGGAATCTTACCACCCTTCAGCTGTTAGAAACTCATTCTTCTCCTTTTCAGAGAGTGATAGGAATGAAATTACATAAGGCCAGGTGGTGCATAGCTCTGATCTAGGATCCAGTTTGGACAGAAGTTCCACCATTGAATATTCTCAATGTCTTATAATAAGTAATTTCTTGGGTTATAATCAGGATTTCTATTGGTTACATTTACTGAGAAAAATCTTTCTTCAGACAGTGCCAGTTACATCATCCTACCTCTTTTCTTCTTCCAGGTGGCTGTTCTCAAAATCTGTTCTTCAGTGCCTCTACACTGAATTTATGCTAGGAAATTCAGAGTAATTAGGATAGCTAGTTAGTAAGAAAATTGACATTCATAATATATATCGTGACAATAGCAGCACAAACATCACTTCACTTTCTGAGTTCATTAGTTTGGTGCTCAAAACAGTTCCGAAGATACAGAGAGCCCTCATTCTGCCAATCTCTTTTTGTTTGTATTAGTTAATAAAGAGAAAGGCAAGAGTTGAGCTTTATTCCTTGTGACTTTACGGACATGTCCACCCAATTTTCTTGGCAATGGTATTGTTATGGAATGTGTGGATGACCTTGGGGAACAAGGGGAAGAGATGCTGCTGGGAAACAATCAAATAAGACAGGCAGGAGCCCCCAGTGGCTTGGGGTCAAAGAATTTTTTTTAGAAAAGACCCATCCGAATGGGTCAAGCAGTTAAAACAGGAAGTGGGAAGTTTATACCTTCAGATTTATAATATTATATTAATGTAGAATGATTCCATCTAGTTTTGTTTCATGTCTACTTTACCTGGGAGGGTTAACAGATAAAGCAGCAGTATGCCATTACTTTGTACCAAAGCTGTCTATCCAAATGCAATCCAGATCTGGCTTTAGTAAATGTATAACTCCATGCAAGCTCAACCATATGCTGCCACATATTGAGACATATTATTTAATACTTGCTTTGACTTATCAGATTTGAACAGCTTATTTCTTTCTTTTTACCATTAGCAGCCTTGGGTGTCAATATGAATTTATATCCATGTGCACCAGCTCACAGAAATTTATGATACAATATTGAATTTGGGATAGTACCAATTGCTAGTATAGTTTTTTTTAAAAAATGATGGCTAGTCTAGAAAACAATATTTGATTTATTTATTTTTACAATTTATTTATTACTAATGAAATGCACAATCATATTTTGTTGCTTTTATTATTAACTTTGGGCCCCTTTCTTGATCGGGATTCCGTGTGCACAGTCACTCATGCCCTCGTCACCTCTCGCCTGGACTACTGCAACACTCTCTACATGGGGCTCCCCTTGAGGAGCACCCGGAGGCTCCAACTGGTCCAGAATGCGGCCACGCGGGTAATTACGGGAACTGCATGGCGCTCCCACATAACACCGCTCCTGCGTGAGCTGCACTGGCTCCCAGTGGTCTTCCGGGTGCGCTTCAAGGTGTTGGTTACCACCTTTAAAGCGCTCCATGGCATAGGACCTAGTTATCTTCTAGACCGCCTTCTGCCACCGACGACCTCCCATCGACTCGTGCGCTCCCACAGAGAGGGCCTCCTCGGGGTGCCATCAGCCAAGCAATGCAGGCTGGTGACCCCCAGGGGGAGGGCCTTCTCTGTGGGGGCACCTACCCTCTGGAATCAACTGCCCCCAGAGATAAGGAGAATCCAAGACCTTCGTGCCTTCCGCCGTTCCCTTAAAACTTTCCTTTTTCAACAAGCTGGGCTGGCCTAACAAATCCTTTTAAATGATTTTAAATGATTTTAAATTTGTTTGTCTTTTTAAATTTTGGGCCAAATTGAGATATTTCCTTTTAATCTGTTCTTAATCTATGTATTATGTATTATGTATTTATGTGTTTTTACTTGGCTGTACACCGCCCTGAGTCCCTAGGGAGAAGGGCGATATATAAATCTAAAGTAAAATTAAAAAATAAAATAAAAAACTTTGCAATTTGTAAATACTGATTTGCATAACTAGGAGCAACTCAAGTTCCAGACAGTAGATGCAACCACACATTTCCATGTTTTTTTTTGGGGGGGGGGGAATAAAAAGGTTTGGAAACCATAAACTTTTTTATCTTACATTCAAAACAAATTGCAGATATGAATGATAATCATCCTATATATGTATGGCATGAAATCAGATTAAAAAGAGCTGGAGAAAGTCATTAAAATAAACTGCTGTAATCCCTTTTTAAAATAATGAATGTTAAATGAAACCCTTTAAATCTGACAGCCTCCAGTGTTAAGAAATGGTTTAATAAATTATGCATTCAATCACTAAATACTGACAAGCAGCCCAGTTGTACAAAGATAAATTAATATTTTCACATTAATATTTGGTTCACTTAAAGCAGTACCTTTTACATTTGAATGTAATATTCCATTTCCTTAATACAAGTTCGCCTCCTGTGGCCCTGAACTGCTTAACAGACTTGATAGTAAGGATCTATAGAAATGGATTAAATTAATAACATTCAAGAATACTTATGGAAATAAGAAAGTTCACCTCCAATGGCAGAGAGTAAACAGTTATTTTTTGAGAGCAATAATTGACAAGTATTAATATCCCTTATACTGAAATGAAAACATGGCCTAGAAATATGTATGAATTCCTGGAATCAGAGAGAAATATCACTTATACAATGTTTATACAAAACTTGTATTCACAAGTTGCATCACAATGAAGTTAAATGAATAATAAATTCTGAAACAACATCCATTACATGGTCACCATGCTCATAGATTCTGTTGTGTATTTTATCAGGGACATGATGCTACCTATACGTCTAGTTAATGACATAGGTACTTATTGTGAATATATATTTAAGTCCCCCTTTTCATTCAAAAAGTCAAGTTGGTAGATGGGACAATGCCTCGTCCCATTTTTCCTCATAACAAAAATAGGAATGTTGGGCTAAGAGTGAATGGCTGAATGACTTAAGAGCTGTGGTGATGCAGTGGTTAGAATGCAGTACTGCAGGCTACTTCTGCTGACTGCCGGCTGCCAGCAGTTTGGCAGTTCGAATTCCACTGGCTCAAGGTATTGAAGATAAACATGAATCCCTGGCCCTTCCCCAGTGCCAGTCCACTAACTGAACCAGTACAGTTCAATAACGTAACCACTACACTAGACTGGACAATCCAATAAGAGAAGTCTGAATCTCCAGATCTAGAACAGACTATGAAAAATTGTTAATTGGATCACAAAATCCTGCCCTTTTACAAAAGAGATTGGCCACATGCTGAATTATCTGTGTTATCACAGGATGACATCCATAGATGGGAAGTGGGAGGGGAAACATACAAAAAAACCCAAAAACAAAACAACCCCAAGCAAAACAAGTACATGTCTTTGTTTCTATGACAACTTCGTTTTTAAATAAATTATTTGGCCTTGAGCAGATAGAATAATGCTATTCAGCCTTTTCCTTAAATTGATAAAAAGTAAGTTCCTAAGCAGAGAATGAACATAAATCATCAGCCAAAATATATAAGTTTGGAGTTGCATTATATTTGCATCAAAAGGAACAATCTTTCAGATATTCATAAATCTATGTGATTCAAATTCCTACCTTTAAAATCTTGCTAATATTTGGATATGAACCAAAATGAGATGGTAATTGAGACAAGCCCATATCATATGTGCCCCTACTACCACTTTTTACTTCCAGCATAATAAAGTTGACAGCCAGCCCTTTTAAAACATTTAAACATCTGAATATGTTTATTTACCAATTCACAAGAAATTTTTTTAATCTAAAAATGAGGTTGGTCTAGAAAAGGGATGTCAAACCCACGTCGTCACAGCATCGTCACGTGATGTTTCAGGATTTCCCCTTTATTGAACCGGGTGGGGCTGGGCCAGCACCTGACGCAACCGGTCCGCAGGTCACAAGTTTGACAACCCTGGTTTAGAAAATGACAATAAAAATATAATTTTTGTCAGAGGTGCATTTGAATAATAAGACTTCCACACTGAACAAAAAAGAAATGTTCAAATTAGTAAAATATCTGTTTCCTCCTAAGTCGTCTAAGACTTTTTGCATTCATGAAACAGTTAAGATAACACAGATTAAGCACATAACAAATCTAATGTTTGTAAGTCAAAATATAAACATTTAAATGAAATAAACCTAATCAAACCATGAAAAATCGTAGAAGAAAAAAATTAAAAATAAAATAAAAATAACCAAACTTGGGAAAAAAAGAATAGAAAATGCTAAGCAAAGAAAAAAAAAAGCTGGAAAAATCAAGACTCTTCTACAACTAGGATGAGATGAGATGAGTTAAAAGTACAATAGTTCCCATTAGCCCAGCCAAAGTGGTTATTTTTTTCTTTAGGTATGAAATAAATAATAAAAGCCTGGCTAGGTGTCGATTAGAAAGGTCAGCAGTTCGGTGGTTCGAATCCCTAGTATAGGTCTCCTGCGTGAGCAGGGGGTTGGACTAGATAACCTCCAAGGCCCCTTCCAACTCTGTTACTATTACAAATAACACTGCTATTTCTTTCTTTCATATAACATTAAACTTTTCAACTATTTTTTTTACTCCAAACACAGGGATAAACCAACTAAACAAACAAACAAAACCTTTAAAAAAGAAGCTTAATTCATTTTTATTTAGCTGCCAAATGTGCTTTAGTTAATTATTTTTGTTTCTGTATCCTTTGTAGCAATAGATCAGTAAAATCATTATCTTTACATTCCGTTTCCAAGATCCTGCTTGCTGAGATAAATAAAGAATATTTTTATATTGTAGATCTAAAAAAAACTCCTCACAATCAGATTAAGTTTTTGTACTGAATGGAAATAATGACCCAAATAATATCCAACTTTGATTTCAAACTTGTATTTTGAATGCCATTAGGAAAAAAAAATCTACATATAAATTTCTTTGTAAAAACTATTACAGACTTATCATGCCCAGCCATATAAAACATTTAAGAACTGCCAATTATTAGTGCTCCGCAAACGCCAATGGATGCTCCTTCGAGAGCTCCAGCCCCGTAATTCTGTTAGCTGCTAGAACAGTGAAATTCTGTTGTCTAGCGGCTTAAAACTCTCCCCCGACCCCCGAGCAGGGGAAGAAGGGGGAGAGAAGAGCAGAAGGGTCTGGGTAGAGCTCCCCTAGACCCCCAGGTTTTTCTTTTTAAGCCTGGGGTTTGCAGGGTGAGAGCTCCCTGAAAGCCCTTCAGTTGCTCCGGATCCGGGACGAGTCTGCTTTATGCAGACCAAGGCGTTCGTGACCACACCAGCAAGCAATTTTAAGGATTACAAAAATTTTGACCAGGGGTGCTGGCAGAACAAACTCAGGAGAACAAAAAAATGCAAGTATTTTGAAACACCATTTAAAAGGAGAAGAAATGGCGCCTGAGAGCATGGAGATGAGGGCTGGAAGATTACTGCTGGGTGAGTCAGCAAACTCACAAGCTGTGACTGTAAAGGGCTTTCAAGAACTTTTAAACTTCTTTACTTCTGCTCTTTTGGAATCAATTGGTAGAACCTTTCAAAAATATAATTTGCAGCACAACAGGGATTTGCTGGTCGGGAAAGAGGCAGAAATTATCCAGCCTAGTGTGATTTTGGAAGACAAAGAAGTCGTCAGGTCTAAGATGGAGGTTGATATAGGCGAAACAAAGGACTTGGCAGAGGTTTCCATACAACTAATTGAAAAGCAACAAGTAGACTCTTTACTGCAAACTGATAAATCTTATCATGACAATTTTTGGTTCTACAGACAAAGGAATGGATTGATCGACTATACAAGCAAGAAGAGTCGATATGGGGGTTTCAAACCAGAGGAAATAAATCTAAGAAGGGAACGAGTTTTAAAGATTTTAAAGATACATCAACCTCAAATTAAAATTCAAAAACTCTCCAAAATAAAAGCAGAGGGGAAGAAGAAGGACTGGAAAAAATATAAAAAGAAAGGAATGAAGAATGTTTTATTGATGTATTAAGATTTTAAAATGTTTGAATCTTGAGAATAAAAGCAGGAGGAAGAAAGGAAGAAGAGTAAAATGGTTAATTAAAATTTAATGAATAGCTTCCTGAAGGTTGTGAATTTATATTCTGAGAAACGAAGTAAGAATATTTTATTGATGTATTAAGAGATTTTTAGAACATTTAATATGAGATTTGATTATTTTAAATGTTGAAAAAGAATGGTGTTTGAGGGTTTGAATGAAATTTATCAGTGTTTGTTAATGTTTCTAAAACTCTAAAGGTTATTGAATTACATGCTAAGAAAAAGGCTTTTATATTTAGGAAGAAAGAATTTAATTTAATTGATTTTCAGAATTTATAAAAGGAAGGTTGATGAATAATTTGTAAAAAGGGAGTTAAAGTGTGTGAGGGAGTTTTGAATCTTGCAGTAAGTTAGAATATTTTAGCATATGTTTGTTAAATGTTATACCCTGTTTTTGCTCTGGGAAGTTGGGGGTGGGGGTGGGGAGGGGGGGTTGAAGAGTGAGTTAGGATATAAAACGGAGAGACAGATAAATGCATTAACAGATAAATAAATGTGAGGGAAATGTTACATTAAATGAAATGAAAAGATGTACTTAGACGATACAATGAATGATTGATTATATATTGTACATTTGTTTGTTCATAAAATAAAAAACTTTTTTCTTAAAAAAAAAAGAACTGCCAATTATTTACGTGAAATCAATACTGAAAAAGAGTTATTTTATCCTGAACTTATTTCTTTCCCTTTGTCAATATTTCAACATCTTACAATATTGTAAGATTTCAGTATTCCCATACTGAAATTTTAGACAACAATTATGTTGTTGGTTTGAGCTCCGAGCTGGGTGACTTGGTTGCAAACATTTCATCCCCATTTGAGGAGACAGCTTCAGTGCGCCTTGGGATCCAAAGCGCACTGAAGATGTCTCCTCGAATAGGGATGAAACATTTGCAACCAAATTGCCAAGCTCGGAACTCAAACCAACAACATAACTACCAACCTGACCTACCAATATTCAAAGACGTTAGACAACAGTGCTAAAACATGAAATATTGGTGTTTTCAGATGTGGTTGTGTAAGGATTTGCCCATTTTCTTTATGTCTACATCATCAGATAGGATAAATCAGTGATGCCTAAGAAATTCAGTAGCCCTGTTTTGAAGTCGTGTATTCTGACTATTACAAACCGAAAGTTCCTCACATAAATCAGAGGAAATTATCAAAGCTCTCTGAAGAAATGGGGTATCAAATAAAGTGCTAAATTTGAGAAATGGGGCTTTCAATGACTGAAAACATTTATATATATAGGGGACTAATTACAGGAAGAATGGTCTAATAAATAGCAATTGAAGTAGAAGTGCCATGAGTATTCAATTCTAACAACATGACTTGGAAGAATTTACTTATTTTCTTTACTCTCCAAGCCCCTCCCCCCCAAAAAAAACAGCAATGTAGTACACAATAAAAATAAGTAACAGGGAGTGATTGATGATAATAATCCAAATTCATCAGAAATATCTAGATACCCTCTGCCAGAGAAAGGATCGTGCCCAAAATCCCTTATGAACAGCATTGATCACCATATTTCTGGAAATTTTTGTTGAATTTCCATTCCTGACTGACTAGCTCAGCAGGTGAGGAGTAGAGATATAAGCTCTGTACTTTAGGTTGCTGAGCTAGAATAAGATAAAAAGACTGGCTGTTGATACTCTGTTGAAATCTCTTGATTCCAAGACAGTCTTTGGATACCTGCTTTTTGATTCAGGCTCTATTGGAAGTTCTGCCTCTTGTTTAAATTTTGGCTGAAATCTAGCTCCATTTCCTCCTATGATAAACTGTGAATACCTGGCTGATCTGTGGCATCCTGACTTTACTGGCAAATAAGGCTGTTTGTCTGCAATCCTTCTTCCTAATTTATATACATATACATCAGGGGTGGGTTCTAAAAATTTTTACTACCAGTTCTGTGGGCATGGCTTATTTTGTGGGCATGGCTTGGGGGGTAATGTGACTGGGTGGGCATGGCCAACTTTTTTTTTTTTTTACTTTTAAAAGCATTATTTCTACAACCTTAAGAGGTTGCAAAAAAAAAAATGCTTTTAGAAGCAGGCAAGTCATCTCGGATTGCCAGAGGCTTTTAAAGGGATTTTTTTCCCTACAACCTCTTCAGCTGAAGAGGTTGCAGAAAAAATGTTTTCAGAAACCTCTGAAGATCCCAGGTGAGCCGTGTGATCATCAGAGACTTTTTAAAAAAACTTTTAAAAACATTTTTTCAGCCAAAGAGGTTGTAGAAAAAATGCTTTTAAAAGTTTTTTTTAAAAAGCCTCTGATGAGGTGGGTGGGGTAAACAAGCACTGACTGGGCTGGGGACTGGTTCGAGGGCGAGACCAGCCAATGTTATTACTGATTCTCCGAACTACTAAAATTTTTTCCTACCGGTTCTTGTGAACTGGTGCGAATCGGGAGCAACCCACCACTGATATACATAGACATAGACATAGACATAGACATAGACATAGACATAGACATAGACACACACACATATATAAAACATGGGAAATCCTAGGTAAGTTTTTCCTCAAAAGTGCCTTTTCAAGAGGCAACTGGACATCTTCAAAGAAAAACAAAAAAAAAGTCCAGTTGCCTCTTGAAAAAGCACTTTTGGGACAACCATGACCTCGATGACTGAAAATCTCCATAGATATAATGTCAGTTTTAGATATTGTTGATTTTAGAACTGTGACTTAACTATTGTCAGCCTATCATGGCAGTGCAGGCAGGAAGCATGATCAGATGACTAATTCTCCTTTATTGTAAGGTTATATTTATAAAATCTTGCAAGTCTGAACTTGCAGTACATTTCTCCAAATATCCTCCCCATCCCCACCCCATTTACATCCCAAGAGAAGGTCCCTTCTGAGACATTTACAACACTCACATTCATTTTGGGGCTAAGATATCTCTGGTCCAACTGTGTCTTGGCTGTGGCTCTTCTCTCTGTTTCATAAGATCATTTCCATGTACCTTTATAGGTACTGAACTCACAGTATCTTTTTCTGATACACATTGCAAAGGGCAAATTAATGAATCCCAAACTCTTGAATTCCAAGATATTTCAATTGATTTTTCAACATTAATCATTTTGGTAACTCATCCATACAATGCTGAGAAAGAAAGACATGTTTTATAACATGAAAATTGGGTGGGGGGGGGAATGGAGCTGTGAAGACCTTCACAGAGATGCTCCACTTCTATAAAAACTTGAAGAAAGAATTCTCTCAAAGCTGCTTCATGAAGCAAGAACTTTGTTTCATGGAACCTTGTTTTTATATATGACAATAACAGCAGGACAATTATATGCTCAAAAGTGAAAAAGATTGACACTGCTCCCTACCCACAATGGAGGAATGGTTGGTGAAGATAATACAGAAATGGCTAAATTAACTTCCTTGATCAGAAAAATGACAATATCTAAATTTTTGGTGGACTGGAAACCCCTTATAGATTTTTTGAATGAAATGGAAAAGATGCACTCGTGACTTATGTTTTTGATGTCTAGGGAAAAACAACAACACAGAAAAAACAGAAAAAAATAAGACTTTTTTGTAATCACGCAGGAAGAGATAATTTTGTAATCATATTTGCTGCAGAGAAAATCGGAAGCTTCTAGTTCTTTTTATTTTTTCTCATTGCACTTATTTTCTTTCATTTCTTCTTGCTCTTTCTTTTCCTCTCTATTTTGTATTAATTTGTGTTAGTTTTTATGTTCTTTTAAAGACTTCTAATAATTTAAAAAAAAAAAAACCAAGGCTGCTTCATGAAGTGTTGTAGTCTTGTTCTTAAGAACAAGCAAACTGGTTGTGTCTTTTCATTTTGCCTCTTCAGATTGCCTTCTCTGGTAGTTCTAAGAGCTGTCAGGTATTGGAAACATTAGAAGACACTTCAGTATATGCACTATCCATGCAAAGAAGTGTCTTCTAACTACTGGAGCTGCCAGTTTTGGCCTTGAGGTGATACAAAGCACCTCTTGAGAAAATTGTGTTGCCTCTTCACCTCAGTGAGTGGAATTATGCCACCTCTGCAGCATTAAGTACCTTTGTCAAAGTGAATCCAGTTGCCTTGTATAGCCTTGAAAAATACATATGTATCCTATTGTATGAGACCCTGCTTCATGCATTTTTAACGCAAACATATCCTGAAAGAGAACTTGTTTCCAGTGAAATCTTCGGGGAAAGGTCAAAATTGACATAATGGCAAACATACTTTGGAATATATATATTTTTTAAAAAAAAAAACCTTTGTGAGTAATGTTGATGCATGCATAAAAGGACAGAGAGTGACAATGAAACATTATGCCAACATCTTGTCAATTTTGACACCTCTCCTCCAGGAGCCACAATTCTCCCATAAGAAATCCTGGCTTGTAGTACGTACTCTTTTGGTGTGTTCTAGGAAGTTCCACCGGTTGACAAAATTGAAGTATCTGTAGCATTACAGATCATGTAGGAATGGTGCGGTGGCCTAGAGGTGGAGCTCTCACCTCCCAATCAGGAGATTGTGAGTTCGATCCTATGTAGGTTCAATCCCAGATATTTCTCTCTCTGGGCACAATGAGAATATATCTGCTGAATATAACTCCACATTGGTGACAGGAAGGGCATCCAGCCAGTAAACACTCAGCTCCATTCAGTTGCCCAGATTCCACCCTGCAAGGGATTATGGGGTCATTAAAAATTGTCCTGCAGCAAGTTGGCCACAGTGAGTTGGTCACAATGAATTGACCTTGGCAATTTGGCCAATTCCGGCAGATGTGCAGGGATTTGATGGCAGGAAAATATGTGAAAAGTGTTTCCTCTAAGTAATGAATTGGAAAGATAATATTTTTAGGGCAAAGTCAATAGCACTTTGTTATTTTTGAAATTTTAATCTAGTACATGTATACATATATTTATGAAAAGATGAATTTTTGAGTCATCACATGGGAAAAATATGTTGATATATCTGAATTCTAGCCTCAGAATCACAGGCATTTTGAAATCTCCTGCCTTTCAGTACAATTGTCTAATGTTTTATTTTTCTAAATAACTTGCTTAACACTATATTATTTATAATTTATTTTTTTCTCACTTGAGCTTTAGAGCTTTGTATTTCTGAATAAACCACAGCAGAGAATTCATAAAATGACTATAAAATAAAATTAAAAATTGTTTAGTAAACATTGTTGGGATCATTTAATTATGTACAGAGAAAACCTTTTATTTCTTGTCCAGGTCATAAAATTTTCATTTTGTTTATTCTGCAAAGCCAATATAGCAACCAAGTAATTGTTTACAAAGGCCACATTGACACAACTAATCTTCAGATTCTAAATTAATGGGAGAACAGAACTGAAGAGTTAAGTTTATCAAACTTCTGTATTATACTATGGTGTTTTGTTTTGTTTTTTGCACAGAGCTGCCATTTACTCTCCTTTTTACAAAAGCAGTCATTATTTTCTTTCTGGTTGTATAAACAGAGCTTTAGTTGTTAAAAAAATAAAAGGCTAGCAAAGATCTGCTTTATCCCAGATAACCTTTTTTTACTTTTCTACTTTTTCTTTCTCAGGCTATCTTGGCCTCTTATGAATAAACTACTAAAACCCACATAGTGTCTATCTGTTTGTACCCTCAAGTTAGCCCAAAAGATGCATAATACCACAACAATTTTTTTGAACCAAGGTATGTTGCCATCCCCATCCTCACACCCCCTCCCTCTTCTCAGTTTTGCTCTCCCTCTCCCCTTCTCTCTCATCATCCCCATCTTCGTCTCTCTCTCCCTCCCACCCTTCCTGTCCCTCTTCCTCTCCCTTCCTTTTTACCTTTTTCCTCCCCATTCCCCTCCCACACCCCCTCTCCCATTTGTTCCCTCTCCCCATTCCCGCTCTAAACCTCTTCCTACCCCCTTCCCCTTTCACCCTCTCCCATTCTTGCTCCCCTTTCTTCACTCTTTTTCCAGCACGCTGCTCCTCCAATCCATCGGATGGGGAAGCTTTCCTTGTTGCTGGGAAATTGAGTGTAGATTTCTTTCTGTCTCCTCTGGCTGACCACGCCCACACTGTGACAAGTCCTCCAGTCTTTCCTCACGAAGACAACTGAAATAACTTCTATGAACTGTAACAAAACACAACAATTAGGACCTCAGGAACAGGAAGCCAAACAGGGTGGGCATGGATTGAAGTCGCAGCGGTCTGAAAATGGACGTTCAGGTAGGTCAATGTCCGTTTTCCAGCACGCTGCTCCTCCAATCCATCGGATGGGATCTACCCAAGCTCCGATGGATTGGAGTCGCAGTGGTCTGAAAATGGACGTTCAGGTAGGTCAACATCTGTTCCCTCCCCCTCTGACTTCCCTCTCTCCATCCCCATGCCCTCCTGTTTCTCCCTCACTCTACCCCCTCCCTATTCCTCTCCCCTTTCCTTTCTCTCCCTCTTCTCCCCATTCCCTTCCTATCTTTTCTTCTACTCCCCTGTCCCCTTTCCCTTTCCCCAGCCAATTCCCCTCTCTGTCCCCTTCCTCTTTATCTCCCCCTTGCCCTCTTCTCTCCCTCCCCCTCCCTAACTCTCCTCCCACTCCTGACCCTCAACCTCACATTCACCCTCATCCTCACCTTAAACCTAACCCTAGTCTCAACCCAAACTCTCACCCTCACCACCACTTATCTCCATGATGAACATTTCCCCAGAGTCCAGGAGACCTTCTGAAGACCAACTGACCTTGTAGCAGACATCTTCACTCTGATAATTTATAGCAGACAGTAAATGATAGTTTAGTCTGCATGGATGAGGTCATAAAGCCATCAGAATTCCCAAGGAGATGACAGGCCTCCCTTGGCAGCCTATCAAAGGTCAGCTGCTCCACCATTATTACATACACCAATGCCAGGCCAATGTCTGTAAGAGGCTAGCAATCAAATAATTAAAACTGCACAATTCTTAGTTTTTGTTCAGAAGGCATATCTCCTTGGATGTAAACTTCCTCTTTATATAAAAGCTCTGCTAAGCTAGCAGCCTGAGCAAGACTCATTGGTCAGCTTCTAGTCTGATTCCTTTCTGTTGCCATATTGGTCTTTTGTTTTGTCCCAATATCCCTGTATCTCAGGAAAAAGAAAAATGAAAGAGAAAGAGAAAAGTAAGAATTTAATTAAAAAGAAAAAAAAGAAACATTTAAAGAAGTAACTTCCAATTTTAATTAAAACAAGTATAATCATATTTAGTGACTCTTCACCCCCTCTAAGGTTACAAACATATACAGTATCTCTTCATCCCTTACCTTCTCTTATCTATAAACAATTCCATAAAACATAATTTTTTCAGTCCTGGTATCAATAGAAAGTTCAGAAAGGGTAGCCAGAAATACTAATATATCTTGTTTTAACCTTGATCAAATAAACCCACTATTCCTTCCTTTAACATCTAACAGCCTTGATTTTTAGTTTATTGAAATATTGCTGCAGGATTTGATTTTTTTTCCTCGTTCTTTGTTGAATCACTCAGAGTTCTTCAAGACTTTAAAAAGCTGCTTTTGTCAATCCAATATGAATATCTATCTATCTATCTATCTATCTATCTATCTATCTCTAGGTCACTCTCTTGGTTTGTCATTTATGTTTCTCTTTTAATGGTCTAAAACTACTTTATTCAATAGTGGTTTTCCAAAAACAAAATGACATTTCTTTTTCTATGCAACATGTAGCTATCACATTTTATTTTTCTATGTGACATGTAGCTGTACCTGGATTAAAAAAACCCATGACCTTAATATGTTATTTCTGCCCAATAGGTCAAAGCTGTAAAAAAAAACCCTAAATTAAATTAAACATTACTTTCATAGAGGATTCAGTGCCCTTTAAATACTTAACTGCTTTTCCACCTTGTATAAGATCTCTCAGCTTCCTCCACTATCAACCTGTCAATTTCCAAAGCTGTTTGTAAATCAACCTTTTCCGGTACACCAAATACATTAAATATTTTGGCTCATTTGTTTCACTTCTGTGAAATTAATTAGCTTCTTTTCATATATAGTAATATTTTTATTATGAATTACATTACACAGATACAAATAATACAAACTACCAAAAAAAAAGTTCTAAAGGTTCTCAATCTTTAAACACGATGAAAACAAATTGCTTACCGCATTGTAAGCCGCCCTGAGTCTCCAGAGAAGGGTGGCATATAAATTAAAGCAAAATAATAATAATAAAAAAAATAAAATAAAAAATAAAAAAATAAAAAATAAAAAGTAAAATCCAAAATGATTAAGACATTAGGTTTGGTCAAAGTTGAGTTCATGAAAATTATACTGTAAACTCAATGAAATCCCACAACTTCTAGCTGATTGCAAAGAGCCATAAAAGCCCTGATTCCTGCCACCTACTCATATAAAACAACAATGAGGGTTACGTGTGGGCAACGTCAAAGATCCTTCCTTTCTCTAGAGAGATTTGGGTGTTCTGGATTCACCATCCTAGCTATTTTCAGCCATAATGTCTCCCACTGCTCCTCAGAATTTCAGTTTGCCATTTCCTCACTCGAAATTTCCTGAAACTTCTTTGCACTCCATATGTCTGGGTCTACAATTCCCAGATTTCTTGACTGTGGTGGCTTGATAATCTGTGACTGATACTCTGTCAACATTTTACCAGATTGATTTAAAATGTAATTAGGTCTGGTTTGGGGTGTATCAGATACTTCCACAAGCAGCTGATTCTAGATGTTATTAATTGGTAGTAAAAGGTTAACTGCTGTCCTGTGGGGGAACTGTTGTAGAATTTTCTGTCTCGAGTGCCAAGATAATTTGGCCAGTCTAGCTTACTAATAATCATAGATCAGGAGAAGCAATGTAAATTCTGACAATGCATAGAATTAATTGCTTCACCAGGAAGAATAATAAACAGCTCTAAAGTGTCTGGGGATGAAAGGCTTGAGCTAATCATCCAGGACCAAAATGGGTCCGCTCATAAATTCTTGTATATATGTTTTAAATGGATGAAAATGATTATTAGGATGGAAAAACAGTCCTAAAATAAAAACTATCAGAGTTTTTCTGATCTCCTGAAGTGTGAAAAATGCCTACAAACAGATTTCCTTGAGCAGCTTCTCCACTTGTCAAAGAGCAGTAATGGTCCGCAACTTTCTCCTGGCTGTACACCTCATAAAACCTGTTTGGCTCCAGGTATGCAATAGCTCTCCGTATGCCAAAAAGCAGAACTAATTTTTGAGATGCAAAAGACCATTCGTAGATGGGCAAAGCCTCTCCGTGAATTATGATAGCATCTGAAATTCCATGTAAATGCTACACGGTAACTGTTTATCTATTTAGCAGAAAAGTGGCAAGATGCCTTCCACCCCAAACTGTGACTCCATTGCAGATTAGCTTCTAGCAATATTTCTTTACATTGGGCTCAGGGTCCATGTTGCAGGTGAGTGATTGCTTTAAGGGGGATGAGAGACTTGTGAGAAGGAAGATATGGATCCATTTCCCCCCTCAATTATGTTTCTGTAATGAAAAAAAAATGTGTCTTTTAGTTCAGGCATGTTCTTCTTTAATTGGTCTCATAATATGTATCCTCAGTTGTCCACATTTGGACAAAGCTTGTAGTGAATAGGATGTAGATAGAAAAGATTCTG